GGCCGGGGCGGCCGTGGCGGAGGATCTGCAGGTGCGTGGGTGGGTGCTGAGATAGTTCGATCTTGGCTTGGCAGAGATCTGGTATGATCTGATCTGACCTGATCTGGACTGTAGAGATCTGATGTTGCAATTACCTTGCCGGGTTGAGCTCAGCCGACGTGCTCAGGAGTCCCAGGCCTCCTGGCTGTGGTTTCCCGAGCTCCTTGGGACCACCCTTTTTTCTGTTTTATTTCTGACTGTGCAGCTAACATATTAGCTTCTCGTCTGCCGCCCTCTCAATCCCGCGCCCCCACAGGAGGGCCTCCCGCCACCCGTCGCGGCGACGGCGGCCGCGGCAGCGCGCCAGCCTAGGAGGGCCCGCGAGGCCGACGGCGGCGGCGGCAGCAGGGGCGGCGGCGGCGGCAGGGGCGCCGCGGCCGAGGACCTGTTTGGGCTCGCCATGGGGGAGCTGCTTGTGGATGAGGAGGCGGCGGTGGAAGGCGGGCAGGCGGCGCGCCGTGATGGGGGCGGGCCCGCCGCGGCGGCGCCGAAGACGGGCATTATGACCGCCGCCGCGCGGGCGTTTGGGCAGCTGATTCGGGAGCCGGGTAGCGGCGGCGGCGGCGGCGACGCGGCGGCCGCGGCGCCGGATAAGAAGCGGCGGAAGCAGCAGGCCGCGGACACGCTCCTGGTGCCGCACGCCAAAGGCGGCGCGTCGGCGGCGGGGGGCGGCGGCGGCGGCGGCGGCGGCGGCGGGGTGAGCATTGCGCCGGCGGGCGGGTTCGTGCCATCGCCAACATTTGCGGGGGCGCGGCCGGGGATGGTTTTCAAGAAGGGGGACAGGGGGGTGGGGTACTACCCAGACACGAAGGCCAGGGCACCAAAAGGCAGCAAGCAGCAGCACCAGGCGGTGGGCGCGAGGGGGCCGTCTGAAAAGGCGGCGAAGCCTCGCAAGGCGCCCGCGGGACAGGAGCAGCAGCAGAAGCAGCAGCAGCAGCGGAAGCCGGCCCTGCCGCCGCTGCCAGGCACCAAGGCGGCGCGGAGGTCTCGAAAAGCCGAGCTGTCAGACAGCAGCGACAGCGACAGCGGCGGCGGCGGTGGCGGCCGCGGCCCTCCGAAGGGCGTTGGCGCCCGGCGCGGCGACGGCGGCAGCAGCAGCGACGACGAGGGCGGCGCCCCGCGTGGTGGCAGCTTTGGGGACCGGCAGGAGCGCGCCAGGCGCCGCAAGGCTCTCCCTGGGCGGCTGAGGAAAAAGGTGGCCAAGTCCAAGCAGCAGCAGGGGAAGCAGGCGGTGCCTCTGGGCAAGCGGAGGCGGGACCAGCCCTAGGAGCAGCAGCAGCAGCAGCAGCAGCAGCAGCAGCAGCAGCAGCAGCAGCAGCAGCAGAAGACGAAGCAATATCAGCAAGCAGCAGCACCACAACAGCAGCAGCAGCAGCAGCAGCAATTGAGGTCTTGGCAGTTGCAGCAGCAGGAGCGGCAGCAGTAGCAGCTTCATTGAGGTCGTATGCTCGCTCCTGCATGATACTGGCGCGATATGCTTGCAACTGCTTGACATGACGCAAGCAATGTAACAATGTTGCTGCGCGCAATAACCGGGATCAACGCACAACCAAGGATTGTACTTGTGGAGTGGAATTTGGAAGGCGGGAAAGCGCACACACTCAAGTGCAACGCCAGTTGAGCAGAAAACCTTACAGCCTGCTGCTTTTGAGAGCCGGGTATGCTGGCAGTACACTACCGAGATGGCGTGTGCGGTGGTGTTGACCAGCTGGGTGCTCTAGGGACCAGCTGGCAAGTTTTGGTTTCGGCCGCAGCAGTGCCCACAACACCGTGGCGCCTCCGCGCGAGTAGAACGTTGACCATAAAGGATTATGGTACAAGAATGGCTTGTGATACTTTCAAGGGGATGCCTGTCACATCTGCAAGCCAGCATGCACTTGCCGTGGCAGCCGTATAGACAGCCACCAACGGCAGTGGGGGTTGCTTTGATGACGGCCAGCCTGAGCAGAGCGCGCCACGTGAAAAGAGAGATTGAACTTTTTCTAGATAGCTGGATTGAAAGCTCTATTAGTATTATTACAATTCTGATAACAGAGGCAATATGAATACCAGTGGCTTAGATGACAGAGGGCAATGCGTGGTTTGTTCAATCGGCAGCGCCGCCGCAATCAAGGCTCGGCTGGCTAGGCACAGGGCATGCCAAGGGCATGAAATGTGCGCGTGCAGGCCTCTTTGCTTGTGACGTGGCTCAACATCTCCCAGGACTCAGCCTCGACAGGCAGCAAGGGAGGCAACACAAGAACTGGAATCACGAAACTTGCACAGTGCAGGTTTGTGCCGTATTCGGACGCCCATTCACAATGCTGATTCAAACAGATGCACACGGCACACTTCCAACGAAATGAGCAAAGGGGCGCTTGGTGTAGATCCATGCGCAAGCTGTACAACAGCTGCTTCCGCCCACCCCAGAAGCCACCTTGGGAGGGCGCAGCTTCTGGTGAACATATCCGCGCGACAGAAAGGCAGCGCGTCAGCTAGCAGTGCTGAGTGCGTACGTTGGATTGAAGGGGGCGCAATGGAAACTCGCATGTATGCGGTACGAGCGTCAAATCTTTGACGTTTGCCTCTGCGCCCACTGATGCGAGGTGCCACAAACACGCTGCCGCATTCCAGGTGAGATTGGTGCTCAGCACCCACCGCCCACCAGCGCGTATGTTCAAGCGGCAAGTGGCCGTGATCTGGCGGCGCGTCGCCCATGCAGCAGGTTTTGCAAGTGCCTTCGATGCGCTGTTCGTGAGCTTGAGTCACGTGCATACGTTGGTGGGTTCAGATGTTGAATGGAAACGGTTGCCTCACGGGTTGATGATCGTCTGGCACAGGCCCTGTGATGATTTGAGGCACACAAGGCGTTGCGGGTGTGGGTATGGCAGCCGGCAGGGGTGATGCAGTACAGAGCGAGCCGAGCCTGACAGCTGTAAGCAAGGCGCACAAAGTTCACGATGGCGGGAGGATTCTGTGCCTGTGCAACAGGCTTAACCTGCATTCAACGCAGCAAATTGACGGTCAAACAATGAATACTTCAGCACGCATAAGCATACACACATCACCCGATCTAAACATTACACACATACGCCCGAGCGTGCACGCGCGCGCGCGCGCATGCACACACACACACACACACACACACAACGTGCGAGTACATACGCGCTAATGCATCCCCCCCACCTGCAGCTCCTCCTTCCAGAAGCTGGGCAGGCCGTCGTACTGCCCCGGCATGCGCCTGTCAGTGATGAAGGTCGCCTCAAAGCCGCTGGCCCGCGCCTTGGCCATCACGGCCGCCAGGCCGTCGGCGGAGGCGCTGCCCGTGTAGGAGTGGATCGACGCTATGCACCTGAGGCCGCGGGTTGTTTGTTGCGTGGTTGGCGGGATGCATGGGTGCGGGTTGTGTGTTGTGGTGTCAGGGCGACGGGCCGGTTGGTCGGGCCTGGTCGCTGGACCAGGCTGGGTCGCATGGGGCGTTTTGTCACCCCGGGGACAGATGGTGACAATTGCACTGCAGTCACGCGGCCATCTTCACGGTGGCTATGCGCAGCGATCGCCACACGTAGTCCCCTGAAAGGCAACTGCTTGCTGCGTGCCAGCCACACAATCGTTTTTAAGCACCCAGGGGTGCGAAGCCGCTCCCCTACCTGGTGACATCAGAGCACGCGCAGACAGGGTTTGTTTTCTGCCAGGTGTCCAGGGTGCCCTCAAACGCGTTGACAAAGTCCGCCTTGCCCGCAACCTTGCAGTCCATGGAACGGCCTGGTTGTGTCGTTTTGGTTTTGACAGGATTCAGGATATGGAGTAAGCAGGCGAGCGGCGTGAGAGGCCGGCGACTGAGGGGAGCTGCTGTGCATCAGGGCAGGCAGCCATACGACCGCCAGGCGAGAGACCCCCCACGAGGTGGGGGGTTGCAGTAGGGGCAAAGCTCAGCGTGCTCTGCTTGGATGCGCGTCGGCTGTTGACATCCCCTGCCTCCCCCCAAAGCTGGCCCAATCTTTCAGACCGAACCTTCTGCCTGGTCCCCAGTCCCGCACCTGGGTTCAGGGCCACGAGGCCGTTGTAGAACCGGATGCGCTCGATGATGGCTGTAATGTAGGCAACCTCCGCATCCGTCTTGTAGGTTGGCGCCACCTGGTTGACCCATATGCCTGTCAAGGCGACGAGAGCAGGGCCGGCCCGTGGCCTGAGGTGCAAGCATCCTGAAAGTCATCTAAACAGCTGCGACTTGGCTGCGTGGTCATCAAGGCGTTTTTGCAGACAGGAGATGGCCTGCCCCTGCAGAGCGCCGGCCGTGTATGTTGACAAGCCCCGGGGCTTGTGTGTCAAACAGAGCCTCGTACGTGGGACCCTGCAGCATGGTGGGCGGCCGTGCAGGCCGGTGCGGCGGTTGGCAGTCCACTCACCCTGCACGATGTCGCCGTACCCGTCCGGACCCTTGGTGAGCCAGATGTCGATCTGCTTGAGGATCTGGTCAAGGGGGCGGCTGCCATAGCCCACGTGAAGGTAGCTGCGGGTGAGGCGCGCCGCAGATTTGGAGGCGATGATTGGCAGCCACATGGTGCATTTACGATTGTGCATGTGGTGGTGGAGCGTCGGATTGCAATTTGACACCAGTCAGTGGGAATGCGTCTGGTCAAGGCCTTGAACGCCAGCACATGCAGGGTGAGTCGGCGTCGTGCCATAGGCCGGTCGCTGTCAATGATAAGCATTGCCCTTGTGCTGGAAAAGCAGACCGTCTTTTGTAGCGATGCGGGGTCTCGCACTCACCCAAAGGTGGTCCACTGTGTGGTGCTGGCGATTTTGCTGAAGTACTCGCGGTGCACCTTGTCGTTCCCTGGGGTGGGGGGCCCGCTGTCCGGGCCGATGAGCACGGCACCCTGCGGTGTCAGGCGTTTGCGACGGAGGGGTTGGCCGGGGGCTCCAGGAAGGTGAACGTTGTTCCAAAGCTGCAGGGCTTTCGGCCATGCTGCAACAAGCGGTATGCGCGACAACACATCCAGGCGACTCTGTGGGCCGCTTTGGTGATGTTTGTGGGAAGTGGCGCGCAGTGTGAACATGTGTGCACAGGGCAGGGTGAATGAGCTTGGGTGCCGGGCCAGGTGAGTGTGCAAAGCCAAGAGGCCAGTTGGTCCACCTTAAAGGATCCCTTGATGCAGTCATTAGCCTCGACGCTCTTGATGAGGTCATCAAAGGTCTGCCCAGGCACTGTGTACACTGGTATCCAGGTCCCCTAATTGGAGAGGATGTCAACGGGGCAGAGAAAAAGAGTGTGCATCAGGGTACTTGTTGATATGTGTGTGTGTATATGTGTATATGTGTATGTGTGTGTGGGGGGGGGGGGGGGCGTGCACGAAGAACGCAGCACACCAGTCGAAAATTGTCGAAGGCTCACAAGCAAGTGATTGAACACGTATGTGCTACATAGTCGCATGATGTCCCAGGGTTGCTGGCTGAAGGGGAGTGCGCAGACAGGCTGGAGGCAGACCTGAGGTCACAAATACCGGCAGTGGCAAAAAGCAGGCGCAAGTTCTGAGGAGGTGGGGGCGCACCATCTTCTCCGGGATCTTCGGGGTGACCGCCGCTGCTAGCTCCGCTGACACGACGGCACTGCCTGGTGCAGGCTTAGCATCACCACGGAATGAGTCGATGCCCCTGGGTTTTTGTAGAAAATAGAGTGTGTGTGTGCTTGTATGTGCGTGCGTGCGTGCATGTGTGTCCGTGTGTTTGCTCTTGTGCGTGTGTGCGTGTGTATGTGGGTGCTTGCCAAGTCGGAGCCGGGCAGTAATTGTTCAGACACTTTTCAACTACAAGCCTGTATCGCATAAACCTGGAAAGCAGCTGCCGGCAGCAGGAAGGACCCTCACCAGACGTAAACCTTCTTCCAGCCGGTCTTGTCTGTGATCTCGTGCTGGACCCTCAGGTAGCGCGCGGGCACCACGGTGTCCAAGGTTGTGTTGATGGGGCCGAGGATCTTGGGGTCCAGGGGCTGGGGTGATCAGGGGCAGACGGGGCAGATTTGTGGACAGTGAAAGAATGATCAAGGCGCTGCTCACATGGGAAGCACGACGCAAGAGCCGCCACAGTGCCGGGGAGTCGCCTGCTTTTGTCTGTTGATCCAACAAGGTCCAAAGTCACGGCCCGTGGCGAGCGTTTGTGGGGGCAGGGACTGCGCAAGCCTCAGCGTTACGGCACTTGGGTACCGGGCGGCCTGGGTGGGGGCGTGCAGCAGGGCTGCGCCGTGCTGGCAGGGTAGGCCAGGCTGCTTACCTTCAGGGTGGTCCAGGCGGCGCCGTCGGTTGAGGCCTGCAGGACGGCGGATGCAGAGTCCGGCGACCACACTCGCGCCCTGCGCAGAGGAGGGAAAGGGTGTCACGGCCGTGGCAGGCACACATCAAGGCGCCAGATGCGCCACCTGTGGATTGGGCGCCGCCCAACCGCCAGTGACCCAGCAGCCGTCCATGGGCTCGCAGGCGGCATGGTGCTACATGTCCACAACGACGTCAGCCACGGCTGGTCCAAGGTGTTGGACTGCCAGCCTCACAGAGTCCAGTCCGGGTAATCACCTGACAACCCCGACGTCCTTAACGGCCCCCATGTCCACAGTTGCCCACTCCAGGCAGGGCCCGGACTGCACCCCGAGCTCCGTAAGCGTGAACGCCGCCGCGGACTGCGCCTGGACTGCCACGATGCCGTCCCATGAGCCGTCCCCATGCACCCAGTTGTAGTTGTCAGTAGCGGGGTTGAGGGTGGCCGCCTTGACAGAGCTGCCATCAGCCTGTGTGGGTCAAGTTCGCACATCCGTGGGCGATTTGGCAACGGTAAGAGGAGCGGGATAAGGGCGGGGCAAGCTCGTGCTCTTGCGCAGGCGCCTGGCCGTCATTGTGCCGGGAAACCGGACGCCGGCCAGCGGCGGGTTGGGACGTCCTGACTGGCGAGCAGCGCTACGCTTGGCCCTGCCCCAAGCCTGCAGACACAGCAGCTGGCTGCCCCACGACGCCCGCGACGGCACTGAAAGAATGCCGCCTTCGCACCAGCTGGCCGCAAGCAACGCCTGCGGCGCCCCTGCCCCCACCGTGATAGACACTGCCCGCTTCCGGGACGCTCGCGATGACTAATAACGTGCGGTCACGTGCGCCTTGCAGCGCGTAGCCCCACCAAATCCCCCGAGTCTTGGCATCAGATCACAACCAACCTTGAACAGGAGCACGTCGATCGGCTCTTTGCCGAACGCCTTGATGCTCGCCCGCTGGACCGCCGCCGCCGCCGGCAGCTGCGCGCGCAAGAACGCGCCCTGCGCGCCCGCCGCCGTCGCCTTTGGCAGCGCCACGCCGGCCCCAGAGTATACGTTGTTGTCGGTGGCGGCGGCCGGGGTGGTGGTGCCATCCGACGAGGAGCAGCGGCCGGCGGCGGCGCAGGCGTTGAGGAGGGGGTTCATGCTGGGGCGCGCAAGATAGTCAGTCGGGAAGCAGGCGCCTGCACCGGGGGGGGGGGGTGTGGCCGTACGGGAGGCGTGGCGCCGCGTTGCTCCACGGCCGTGTTTTGAGGCGGCCTGCAAGCTTGAAGGCTTCCCACACCTGCAGCCCCTGTAGCAGCTGAAGGGTGGTTAGGCCGGCTCGCTGGCGCGCACGGTGAACTGCACGCGGCGCGTGCGCCCCAAGTTCACCACCCAGGCGCCCCTACGCGCAGGATGACTCACCGGATTGCCACTGAGTGTTGTCCAGGCCGTCAATTATGTTTCCAACAGGCCCGGTCGGGTTGCTCGACACCGTCACAGTCGCGCCGACTGAGTAGGAACCGGGCATTTGAGCGTGCGCCGCTGCTGCGAACAGCACCAAGAGGAGGAGCAGGCAGCGGCCAAGCCCCGTGCGGAGGCACTGCCCCATGTTGGAGGGCTTCCTTTCAGAGGCTAAGCTCCGACGCTGGGGACTTGGAGCCGTGGCTTTGCGTGGCCGGTGACGCGTTCGCAAGTAATTCGCAACTTGTGCTGCCAGGCTCTGTATAGAAACTTTCGAAGGTGGTGATACGGCACAGACGCGACTTGAGAAAGAGTATAATGTGCCGCTTCAAGAAGCACCCGTGCAGGAAGCCTCCATGGAAGTCAGCGGCGTTGCGCCTGCGAACTGGAGTGCGAGCTTTACTCATCCCGCAGAGGTGAGGTAAAAAGGACGAATGTAGGATCGTGGCAGTCCATAGGAGGGCAGCACTAGTGTTTCCACCAGATGTTAGACACTGTTGGTGGTAGCCTATTCCAGCAATGGCTGCCCATCCCGCGGTCCACTTGCTGGCAGAGCACATGTGCAACACCGATCCCCACACACCAGCAATTGTGCAGCTGATGGAGCGTGTGGGCAATGTGAGCGAGCGGCCCAATAATTGAGGCTGATGACCACCGGTTGTGTTCTTGACCGAAGCCTGCGTATTGCACTGCCACCCGTGGCGAGCCCCCTGAGGCTCTCCGCAGGGTTCTCTGCGCAGCGGCGCAGCCGGCGCGCTTTCAGCCATGAGTGGCCTGTCCATCCACTCGCAGCTGCATGGTTCAGGCAGGCGCATGCTCTGGGGACCGATTGCAAATGATGAAGCAGCCACCCAGCTGCAAAGATACTTGGATACGAGGGCATGGAAGTGGGAGCAGCAAGCTGTTGCGTTGACAGGATGGCTGGACTGACTGTCAACCTTGGAGGTGCAATTACAAAGGTGTGACCGCGCCCCTCGACGACAAGGTGCACACCCAAAAAATAAATGTTGAGTTCATCCCGACCCAAAAAACCGCAGTACACAGAGTACAATTCATTCCCTGTGCAGCACAAGTGCATGCAGATTCGTTGTTTGATCAATTGGCCCCATTGCCCATATATCTCATTGATACAAAGCAGACCAATCGCCAACTCCTGCAGCTAATCCTGCAGCATCCGCGCGAGCGGCCAAGCCTGCCGCACGCCCTCCTCTGGCGCTTGAGCCTGCCTTCCCCCCTGGCAAAGTCCCTGTGGGGCCTTTGCTGCTCGCCTTTGCAGCGCGCGGCGCTGCTCCTCCCAGACGCCGTCGCGCACAGCAGGGGCAAGGTCATGACCCTACACACCGCCGCCAGCCGTGTCAGTCCGAGGCGCCTCTCGCCAGTCCCCCCACTCAGCCGGCCGCTGCGGCGGCGCAAGCGTCGACGCCACGTCGGGCTCCGCCGCCAACTGCTGCGGCGGCACACGCCTGTCTTGCGCTGGCCCCGCCGTCCCCTCAGCAGCCGGCGGCGCGGCGTGCGGCTCCGCCTGCGCAGGGTCCCACGGGTCCCACTGCTGCTGCGCCTGATCGCCGCCGTGCGGATCCCGCTCGCCGCCACCGGCTGCGGCTGCCGTCTTGCCCACCTCCGGCTGGCGCCGTGGGGACAGCTCACCCCCTTCAGCCGCCCCGCCCGCCTCGCCCTGCGTGACAGCCGGGCCCTGGCCATCCCCCGTTTCGGTTGCCGCCTCGAAGCCGGGCCGCTGGGCCCCCTCCAGCTCAAACCACCCTTCCCCGCCGTATCCCTGGCGCGTCCGCCCGGCCTCGCTGGCTGGCTTCTCCTGTGATGCCGCCACCGCGGCGCCGCCGGAGCTGCTACCACGCTCGTGGCCCTGCTGCTGAGTCAGCGCGTCGGCCGCCGCCTCGACCGCCTGCCCCAAACTGGTCTGCTGTGAGGGCCGCAGACCATCTGCGTCCCCGACCTCCTCGCCCGCAGCCGCCTTGCCCCATTCTGGAGCCAGCATCGGCCCTGGCGTGACCGGTCCGGGCTCCGACGCTTGGATATCTAGCAACGAGGCCGCCGCGCCCGCGTGCGGCTGGGACGGCTCGGGCCCTCGCGCCGGCTCCGGTGCTGTCGCCGGCGCCGCCGCGCCCCCTGCAGATGACCCCTGAGAGGCAATCCGCTGCACTACGGTGGCCGCGACCTCCGCCGACGCAAACGGGGCCTCCGCCTCGAAGGCAGCCTCGGCCGCCCACGCGGCCTGCGAGCCGCTGGGCTCCCACCACTGCTCCTCCGCATCCTCGGCCGCCGCGCCCTCCGCGGCCGCAGCCTCCTCCCTCGCCGGCGCATCCGCATCACCGCCCTGCTCCGGCTGCGCCTGCGCCCCTGCCGCCGTCCCGGCCCCGTCGGGGCCGACCGCCTCGGCGACGGCGGCCCCCGGCGGCGCCGCCTGCTCCGACGCAGCTGCGTCGCTCGCGCCGCCCCGCCCTTCGGGATGCGCCGCGGGTGCCGCCGCCTGCTGCGCCTCGATCGATGCGCTTGCACCCTCCTTTGGTGCCGCTTCTTCTGAAGTGGCTGCCAAGCCTTCGGTCCCCGCTCTCGCTCTCGCTCCCGCCGCCGCGTCGCCGTCCGCGCCACCTGCCGGCGGCTCCGCAGCCGCCTCCGCCGCCTCCGGCGAGGCGGCCCCGCCTGCGCTGCGCGCCTCGGCGTGCGCCGCCGCCGCCGCGCCGTCCTGCTCGGCGCCCGGCACAGCAGACGCTGCTGCCCACGGCGCCTCCGCCTCTGAAGGTGAGGCAAACTCCTGACCCTCTGCGCTGCCCTGGGGTGGTTCGGGCAGCTGCTCGGGGCGCAGCTGCTGCGCCTGCCCCGCACCATCAGCCTCTGCCTCTTCCGCCCAGGGCGCTTCGCCCTGCGGCGGCGACGACGGCGCCACAACGCTGCCGGGCTCCTCGCCACGATCCTCCCCCTGCGCTTCGCCTCGCCCGTCAACGCCTGGCTCGCCCGCCGGCGCCGCAGCAGCCGCTTCCGCTGCCGCCCC